GGGTATCCCGGCATAACTTATTCTGGCTATATAGCATAACCGTATATAGGCTGGGGTATTCCGGCATAACATATTCTGGCTATATAGCATAACCGTATATAGGCTGGGGTATCCCGGCATAACTTATTCTGGCTATATAGCATAACCGTACATAGGCTGGGGTATCCCGGCATAACTTATTCTGGCTATATAGCATAACCGGCTATATATAGCATAACCGTACATGGGGGGTATTCCGGCATAACTTATTCTGGCTATATAGCATAACCGTATATAGGCTGGGGTATCCCGGCATAACTTATTCTGGCTATAAAGCATAACCGTATATAGGCTGGGGTATTCCGGCATAACTTATTCTGGCTATATAGCATAACCGTATATTGGCTGGGGTATCCCGGCATAACTTATTCTGGCTATATAGCATAACCGTATATAGGCTGGGGTATTCCGGCATAACTTATTCTGGCTATATAGCATAACCGTATATTGGCTGGGGTATCCCGGCATAACTTATTCTGGCTATATAGCATAACCGTATATTGGCTGGGGTATCCCGGCATAACTTATTCTGGCTATATAGCATAACCGTATATTGGCTGGGGTATCCCGGCATAACTTATTCTGGCTATATAGCATAACCGTATATTGGCTGGGGTATCCCGGCATAACTTATTCTGGCTATATAACATAACCGTATATTGGCTGGGGCATCCCGGCATAACTTATTCTGGCTATATAACATAACCGTATATTGGCTGGGGTATCCCGGCATAACATATTCTGGCTATATAGCATAACCGTATATTGGCTGGGGTATATCCCGGCATAACTTATTCTGGCTATATAGCATAACCGTATATTGGCTGGGGTATCCCGGCATAACTTATTCTGGCTATATAGCATAACCGTATATTGGCTGGGGTATCCCGGCATAACTTATTCTGGCTATATAGCATAACCGTATATTGGCTGGGGTATCCCGGCATAACTTATTCTGGCTATATAGCATAACCGTATATATGGCTGGGGTATCCCGGCATAACTTATTCTGGCTATATAGCATAACCGTATATTGGCTGGGGTATCCCGGCATAACTTATTCTGGCTATATAGCATAACCGTATATTGGCTGGGGTATCCCGGCATAACTTATTCTGGCTATATAACATAACCGTATATTGGCTGGGGCATCCCGGCATAACTTATTCTGGCTATATAACATAACCGTATATTGGCTGGGGTATCCCGGCATAACATATTCTGGCTATATAACATAACCGTATATTGGCTGGGGCATCCCGGCATAACTTATTCTGGCTATATAGCATAACCGTATATTGGCTGGGGTATCCCGGCATAACTTATTCTGGGAGACATTTTTCCAAGGTCATCAATGTGAACGTCGTCGGCATCATCCGGCCTGTCATCTCCTCCGTCAGTCCACGTGACGTGGTTTGATGTAGACGTGAGGATTGATGTTCAAACCTTGGTCGAGGCTGCAGTTACATGAAAAGGCTAAATTTTTCTGGCAGATATGTTTTGATAGATAGTTTTATTCTCAAAAGAACCCACCAACGGTGGTACATGAGAAAAGTACAATATAAAATCGCGTATGATAATATAATCAATCAAGATGACAGAAATATAAGGTAAATACATATATATATATAGTGAAATGTTCAATGAAATATGGCAAAAGTAAGTTAACATGATTCTCATGCAGCTGCAACTAATCTAAAGATGATGTTGATGAATTTCGACAGGTTTTTCACATTTTTTACTCTGGTGCTAGATAAACATTTTTTTAGCTTGAACATATTAGCCCATTCGTAGAGATCTTTACGTATGTGTATAGACCGCGGCTGGAGAAGGGCTTCACACCTGAACAGGTAGTGGAACTCATCACCAACCGCCGGGGAATTACATAGATTGCAACGTTCCACTCTTGGGGTATCAGACCAGCCGCTTTCAACTGGTAAGTTGTGATTTGCTGTTCTAAATTTCAAGATTGGATAAAAGACGTTTTTAGGAAGATAAAGGTATTTTTCAAAACTTATATTTTCTTTAAACATTTTATAGTACACACCTTTCGGGCTTTCAGTAATGCAACTATGCCAGTTCTGCAGGAACTGGTCTTTCAATATTTCTTCAGCTTTTAAAGCTAACCACGATGAAGAACATATAAACGGATTGTCAAATATTTCACCTAATCCACAGTTATTTAATATTTTCTTAACGAACGTTGTCCATAGTAGTTTTTCAGAGTTGTCAGTGAAATTACTGATGATAAGTCTATAGATAATATTTGTTAGTTTTGGAGTTTCATTATGACTTGCCATTTTGTGCCAGAATAGAATAGCACGTTTGTATATTTTGGTGTAGAGGGGTTCCCTACCAAGTTCTCCATAAATCATATAGTTTGGCGTTGAATTTCGAAGACCTGCTGCCAATTTAAGAAATTTTAAATGAACTTTTTCAATTAGTTTTATGTTTTCAAATGCCCAGATCATCAATGTATCAATCATCAAGATCACCAATGTAGCATCAAATAAGCAGGAAGGAATTCGTCCTCCTTGTCTCAACCACCCACTGGATACACCTTTCGTGATCTGTACATTGCCAAGTTTTACATTTACAGTTTAAAACACTCGCTCTCAATCTAGTGGATGTAATGTTTCTCCACGTTCTGTCAGATAGCACTGACAGATATGTCTAAGGTTCTCCATGTTTCTTTATATATATAGTAGTGTGAGCTGGAATGAACGAGTTAGTGCCAGATTTGTAGAAACGTAGAAACATTTATCCTTTCGAAAGAAGGTCAGCTGATTGCCAACCATTAGAGATATCCAAACAAACTCTAAATCAGAATAAACGACAATGGCGGGATATTAAAGGCCTGCACGTGGTGCCCTCAGTTCTGGAGATACGTGCTCTTCAGGTAATGTCTGGATATAACAACTCCAATATCATATTGTTCTAATCAGGGACTTTATTATATTTGTGAAAGTTACCTGTTTCTTCATAAGCTATTGCATTAATTTAAAAAAATGTGCGATTAAAAATGTAATATAAACGACATTAAATATTTTTATTTGAGCACACAACCCCGTAACACGTGATTATGATTGACTGCGCTAGGTGTTCACTACGCCAGACAGGAATGTTTTGTTGTCTTCCGCCCTTCAACGTCAGTCTATCACCTTCACCCTAGCGACAAACGCGGGGAGGGACCCTAGCTTTGGACGCGTTGAAAATCTCAAGTATTTCATTTTAACATTGAAAACCTGGCTGATATGGTGGAAAGCATTCAACGTTTGTCGAGCCGGAGGGGACAATACAGCGCTTTCAGAATTCCAGATTTATTTTGCTGGAGTTTTTATGTTTTTGAACCTCTCCAGCTCTGGTTTGTAAACTTGACGGTGGTATTGTGACTTGACAAATGACATGCATAAATTGCTGCGAGATGTTACGTTACACCGAGAAAGTACGGTACTGCTCTCCACCTTTTAGCACCGGAGTTTGAATGCGGTTTAATTGTTGAAGTTCATTCATTACAACACAACGTTCTTCCCCGCGAGGCCAATCTTAAGAACAGGTGGGCTGAAATATTAAGGGTATTCTTTGAATGGGGTTGAAGCAGAAAAACCTCGACGAGCAACCTGTTGTGTGAATTTATTGTTTTTCAATGTTTTAGGTCCGTTGTGATTCATATAATAGGCATCATATTGAAGTTTTGATTTAATTTGAGCATTCCCTTGAACTATACCCCTACCCCGCTTCCCACTCCCCTTTCCTCACCCCTCACCCCTCATCCTGCTCCTCCTCCTCCTCCTCCTCCTCCTACTACTACTACCACCACCACCACCACCACCACCACTACTACTACTACTACTACTACTACTACTGCTGCTTCTTCTACTACTACTGGTGCTGATGCTGTTGCTACTACTACTTCAACTACTACTGCTGCTGCTACTACTACTTCAACTACTACTGCTGCTGCTACCACATTGTTGTCGTCATATATACCATTACTCAATTCCATCACTCATTTCAATTAATATTTAACGTCTTGCTGTAAAGGAAGTTTAATTAATAAATAATATAATGTAAAGCATCGAGCCCCTTCCTCTCGCCTCTGGGTGACCCTTTGTTCGCAAGGCAGTATGGAATATGCCAGCAAACCTGTTGCCGCAGCGGCTATCGATCCTACACCATCTTGATTCTGTCCTCCCTTATTGAGCTTAATTGTGAAACCCGACTGTCATAAAAACAGTTTTATATGAATTGCTCTCTTTTTCGGTTTGCCAATACATTAAAAATCAGCCATTGTGAAAAACTCGCAGTCTGTTAGCGCTCCGTTGAAACCTAGAGCTTGGTAGCAGGAGTAGACTAGAGCAACTTTATGATGGTGTCTTGTAAGGCGTGACTTCTCATATTTCGACGTCTGTTATAATACGCAAAGTGTCTATCTTTTCGCTAAAAAGGAAGGTGACATCCAAAGAGTTTTATAGAAACCGACGCACGATCGGGCACGCTTTTCATTGTACTCTACAGATGAAGCCATCGTTGGTGCAAAACCCAAGATGACCCAGCAATTGTTAAGAAAGAAGGCCCGGAATTACAATCGGGCAGGGTTTCCTACAGTAATTGCTGTAAACCGGGGAGAGCTTGCCTTATTAATCCACCGGCATGACTTGCACAGGATCCTGTAGTACTCGACGCCACTCGCGTGGACCTCAGAGTAAACAACTTCCACATGGATGTGTCAAGAATCCTGATTGGCTGTTTATTTTGTGAACTGAACGTCGTTGACATCATCCCGGCCTGTCATCTCCTCCGTCAGTCAACGCCGCATGGTTTGATGTAGACGTGAGGATTGATTTTCAAACCTTGATCGAGGCTGCAGTTACATGAAAAGGCTAACATTTGGGTTTGGTTGTAAACTGACAGCCTATTCATATTAATAAATGCACAATATGTTGCAGATCGATAGTGAGATGCGCTGAATGACGAACAAATAACATAGCTATCGATTACACGTGGAGCACGTGGACTGGAGAGCTGAAGGAAAAGACCAAGTGCCCGACAAACAAACGCAGCCTGTTACTCGTAAACACACAGGGGGTTAACATACCTCCGCGGCGGAGACACATGTACGGTTAAGGGGAGTTGTTAAGTTGGACCGGCGGGATAGTATGGTGATTGTTTTATATATGTTGAGTTTCCGAATGTACAGCCTAGGTTACAGGTTATTGTAAAGCTAGAAGTACATATCTGCTTTCCTGGAGTTAGTAGATTCACTTGTGATTCATTTCTTCTTCCTACAGACAGGGAGTTCCTCAAACTGCAGACATAAGAGGAAAAATCGTTTTGTTATAATGTTCGGCGGCGTTATCAGCGAGCATACAAACACTGGACTACATGATGAAAACATATATCGACATGTGTTAAGCCATACATCGACATGCGTTAAGACATATATCGACATGTGTTAAGACGTATATCGACATGTGTTAAGACGTATATCGACATGTGTTAAGCCATATATCGACATGTGTTAAGTCGTAAATCGACATGTGTTAAGACATATATCGACATGTGTTAAGACGTATATCGACATGTGTTAAGACGTATATCGACATGTGTTAAGACATATACCAACATGTGTTAAGACGTATATCGACATGTGTTAAGACATATACCGACATGTGTTAAGACATATATCGACATGTGTTAAGACGTATATCGACATGTGTTAAGACATATATCGACATGTGTTAAGACATATATCGACATGTGTTAAGACATATACCGACATGTGTTAAGACATATATCGACATGTGTTAAGACATATATCGACATGGGTTAAGACGTATATCGACATGTGTTAAGACGTAAATCGACATGTGTTAAGACGTATACCGACATGTGTTAAGACGTATATATTAAAACATGGTAAGCCTGAAGCATTATAAAACATACATGACATACATTACATACATGACATTATTTATCAGGCGATAATCTACAGTTGGTTTGTTTCACAAAGATCAATTTTGAAATTCTATTGTTTCATTAAAGTTTGTAGTCCCATCTATGCACAGACCGTGATGTGTTGGTTTGGAACTCGGCTATATTTAGTTCCTAGAGACAAGAATGTTTTCTTAAAAGATGTTTTGTTTAAAAAGATGTAACAACAGAAGTTTATTGTCTTAACACATCGAGAGTTGATTGACATTTTTATTCATGAAGAATGTAGGCCTCCGGCCCATGTTCATACATACATGTGGTCAGTCAGCAAATAATGTATATGACAATATATAAATAGAGAGAGAGAGAAAAAGAGAGAATAATAATTAATCAGCAGATTATTCTGAAACACATGGAGGGGAAAGAAGTAGCTCTGAAACGTCGTGGTACAGAATAAACGAAGATGTTATCCATATATTACAGCTCTAAATGTCCATCAAAGACTGCAGACACTGTGTGACCAAACAGCTCTGAAACAAGCCGACATAACTGTAATCCTTCCGTAGTGAGTGAATACTGCGTTCTGCCGCTGTCTGTATCATTCAAGCCATGACGGTCTAGAGAGATGAGACTTGAAGGCCTCACCCACACCACCCTGACTATGTGTGTGTGACTATTTCTCACTTAAACGCAGAATTTCTGCACAATAATATATGTTGTGGTCGTATAATGATGCTGTCCAGAATGAAGAGAGTCCACATTACTGAAGTGTTTGTTTTCATTAGTACCATACTCGATGTTGGATTAACTTGGACTGTCAACGTTGTTTTGCTCTGTAAATGTTTACATCTTGAACCACCAAGTAAAACAGCTCTGTATGGTAGGAAGTTCTGACACATTGTCTCGCAGCTAAAACGTTATTTAAACACATTATCACCATAACCTAAACATGTTTAATAATAATGGGTACTAGTATTTCCCAAACGAATAAAACGATCGGAAGAGGAACGCACCTCTCAACCATGCTGTGTAGTGAGAGGGCATGGCCTCCACTGCTGCTGGCAAGGTGTCATGTCAAACAGTTTGAGGTGTCATTGAACCGGGTGGTGGAAAAGTGGGGACCCGGATGTAGCACCGCTGGGTGAGAGGACGTTGCAGCTGCTGTGGTAGTCGTCAGTTGTCACGGAGAGGGACACAGCCCTTCGAGTGTCCGTGATAAGTCGCTGTGATAACATATCTCATTTAATGGGTCAAGTATTTTTTTGCATTAAAATGCCTTTAGTGTGTTTAAAATTCAGAGTTGCTGCATATATTTTAATAGTAACTGCCCAATAATAGAGGTGACCATGATGATGACGACGACGGTGGTGGTAGTGGTAGCGACGACGACGACGACGATGATGATGATGATGATGATGATACAATACTAGGTCCCAGTGAGTATTCTGAGAGGGTATTCATGTTAAACTATATAGCTTGGTATAGGGCATCATTTTTATTTTTTGTGTTTCTCATGCCCGACCGACCCTTCTAATTTTATTGCCGACCCCCCCAAAAACTTTTTTTTTCCATTCCAACGCCGCCGACTCTAAAGGTTATCTATCTGAAATGTGTTAATCAAGAACGCGTCCAAAGAACGCGAGAAATTGTAATAAGAATTACAATAAATGAGAATCAAGAACATTATTCGGATAATTTTGTCTTTATTAATTGTTTTTTTATTCTTCCCTTGGCTACGTGAAACACATAAAAACTGATGCCCATATCGATGGGCTAGCGCTACATATCCGGTGCTAGAAGTGTGAAGTGTGCAGTTGTTCCAAACCGCCCTGTACAGTTGATCACAACACCGGATTACCTATCTATATGAATCCAAATTATCAAACCGACAATACCTCTAGAACACCGGGTGTCTGATGGTTAAATATTAAACATAAGCACACTCATCGGACACACACTTTCAACCTACAGCACATTCGATGTGGTTCAGATCTGAGTCTAATACTATTACACCATTTACGGGAACAGATTAGGTTTTAACAAAAGCCTCTCGCCACGCCACCCCACCTTCCATATTTTAATAGTTTTGCTTGTTTACCAATCTGTTTTGGAAAATATAAATGTGTTTAAACCATATTAATAGCCTAACGCGTACACAGAACAACCAAAATGTGTCATGTTTCACTATATTATTATGATTATTATTTTTCCAAATGTATGACGTCAACACAAAAGAATCTGCCGAAAAAGTCAATCTTTCGTGGAAGACAACACAGCAGTGACAAGTATATGGACGACCCTGTCACTACACTACCGGACACAGAATTATAGTATTTATTTATTTAAGATGAAAAACTTTCAGATTATTATATTATACATTAAAATACTGACAACCACACAGATATCTAAAAGAACAACATGCGTCAATAATTATTTATTTTGGTTGAACTGTATAGATTGTATGTGTACATTAATCCCGAAGATTGCTTGTTGTTGTGTTGTGAACAAAACATCCGATATCAACCAATCTTGGTGATATACCGACACAGATGCCATTAGACGTACCACCAGCGGTGTATATATCTGGCCCACCATGAAATTATTACATGTTCTTTCCAAACGAATTCGAGAGTCTGGGAGTTGGGACATCGAATGCATTTATACATCTCACTGTGTGCCGCTGGGATGTGAGCCCCGACGCTTGTGGATGCTAAAGCGGACCCCTCCTCCCTGTCCCAGGCACCTGTTCATGCCAGTCCTCAGAGTGGATGTTTTCTGTACATGCACGTGGAAGTTCAGAGATGTAATAAAATATTAGATTACAATTCAGTACAGATGCACTTATCTGTTAGGCTGGAATGTATCATTGGCAGTGAATTTCTGAAATAGAGTGATGTGCGAGCAATCTTCATGAAATATACAAATCAGCATCGAGTTAATACAACATATCAAAGTGCGCATTGAATTTCCCAGGGTTTTCCTTGCGAATATCGGTCTGATTAAAGGGACAGAAGCTCGTCTAAGTGTGTCGTGCAGTGGTATGACGACCACTACCTGCAAATTAAATGTTGCGAAAACAAAAGAACTCATCGTGGATTTTAGATGCAAAAAAAGGTGACAATATGCCTGTTGAAATCAAGAGTGAAACTGTATAAATTGTAACACAGAACAAATATCTTGGAACTAGTATCGACAGTAAACTACAGTAGGGTCCAAACACTGATATTATTTTTAAGAAATGCCAGCAAATATCGTATTTTATGCGCAAACTAAGATCTTCTAACGTAAGCAAAAAGGTGATGCTGTTGTTTTACTGTTGTTTTGTTGAAGGATTTGAACCTCATTAATTCTATGCTGGTATGGCCCTGTTAGTATCAAAAGCAAATCTTATCTTAACAAAATCATTTAATTGCAAGTGAAATCTCTGGTGTGTCTGTTCCGGATTAACCTTCTCATTTTAATTCCCGTGTTTTTAACCTAGCTGAGAGAATTTTACCTGATTCCAACCACGTTTTATTTTCTGAATATAATCTTTTACCTCCAGGCCGCCGTTACCAAATGCCGCATTTTAAAACAAAAAGAGTTTCATAATTATTTTATTAAATGAATGTTAACTTTGTTTGTGTGTTGTGTTGTCCTGTGTTTACTTATCCCTTATGTCATTTTTAATGTTTAATTATCTGATCATTTTCAAATGTAAAAGGAATTCCCCTAGGGGTAATAAAGTATTGTCATTGTCATCATTGTCATTGTCATTGTCATTGTCATATCTCGTGCATTAGAATACTGGGAACTATTATATTTTAAATTATAAATTGAATGTAATTTGTTACTGTTTGTTGATACATGGTTGACGACTGATCTGTGAAGCGTTAATAACATAATAAAAATGATAAATAATAATAATAATATAAATGTATAAATGGTGATGTGTAACTATTCTCATATTAGAATTGGGACTATTCGCCACGATACTAACTACATGCACTACATCGCTGTTGTACCCGAGTAGTAACACGGACAGCATGAACGTTGATATCGATAGCAATTTCGATTTCAACGAACTCACCAATTTCTATATTACAAAAAAATATTAAAGATCAGCAACTTTAACAAACAAGACACTGAAAGTATATTTCAAAAATAAAATAATTCTACAAAATACCTGTATTAGTTGAAAGTGTGCGTGCTTGTAGATACATGCACACATTGAATTAGGAAAAATAGGATCTCAACTTAGATTCAACATAATCGTTAATAAATTTCTATAATAAAAAGAACATAATCTAAAATTTTGTAATATGTACCAAGTCACAAATTTAGAATGACAGTCACGAGAGAAACTGAGACAAAATACACGCATTACTTAATTTTTAATTGCAATATTATTTAAGTTTTCATATCGCCAAAAACAACCCAGTAAATGTGCGTATCTCCCGAAGCAGCACAGTTTCCGTCACCTCACTACAGATACGGCTTCCAGGATAATATATTCAGCAATTATTCACTACATCTTGTCCTGAGAACATTAATACGCTGGACGCTTTATGTACAGTTGCCATACTGCGTTCATGTATTCCAGTGATATACAGGATATTATCCAAACAGGTATAAAGATAATGGTGTATTTGACATACTTCGTGAATCTACATATCGCGGGGTATTGTGTGACGGGCACAGCTGGGACGTCGTTAATGACGGCGTTGGGACAAGCCACACCGGCACAGCGCCAGCCTGTTGTAGTTATGTATTGATCGGCGGCGTGTGCTGGTTGGTGTGTGATGTTAGAATAACCTGTTGGTAAAACATGGCACAAGCCTATTTTATATAATTCGAAATTTATTTCAAGTTTAAATGTTTCTGATAAGGAAATTAAAACGATTCCTTTATATTTGCAATTGGCGATAATTTCATAACGTAGCTAGTCACAAAAATTAGACTTACCCAAAATTGGAGAAAACATTTAATTTTGAAGAGCACCTGAGGCATTTAGAGTAGACACAAACCTGACTACGCCTGGTCGGAATATATGCGTGTTATATATATTTATATCTGTTGCTACAGGTCCGTAAACAGAACGCGTGAGACGTCACAGACAAAGTCTTTGAGTTGTCATGTAGAATAGATACACATACAAACGAGGAAGATTATACATGTCAGCTTGTTTATTTTGTTTTATTTAACTGATGAAGAAGCAGTTTCCCCGAAACGTCCCTCACAATGCAGAAGCTGACATCGATAAATGTTCACCTTTATTATAGAGAACTTCGAAATAGTTTTAACTCAGGTAATAATCTGGCGGAACATGAATGTCCATGTTTGATGCTGACTTCCCCGAAACAAAGAAGAAGTCGCCGCTAGAAAGTGATGGCGATGATGTTAGTATCAAAGTTTGCAGTGTTGACAGGACTGGTTCATGCGGGTAACGTTTCGATAACGTTTATAGATTGCGGGTAAACCCAGTTTTTCATGTGCATACTTTGACTTTCCAAAATTTCAGATTGTTATCTAAACACACTTGCTGGTCCCGCACCTGTAATTTGACTGTTTCCGTGTTGTTCCTAACATTGCGTTGTTGGCTATCTACAATAGGAAAACAATGTATATTGAAGTCATTAAACTGTTCACAGTTTTATTTATTTAAATTTAAATAAAATTTAGCATGCATTATCATTTCTCTCATTAGCTTGTAGTAATATTCTCGATAGAAGATTTTGGACAAGAAATATACGAATATTTTGGTGGGATGAAGACAGCGACTGTAATGGCTGGCTATCTGGTAACTACGAGGCATCCTGTACAAACTATCACATACTTGCTTAAAGAATACAAATAGAAGTTTAAGAGAATCAAATGCATTATTATCATGATGACCTTTGATGATATTTTTATCACATCAATGTTTACTATGGAATTGGGTCGAACGAATATTGAGTCTACAAAACCTCAGACAAATGTGAAAGTAAAAGTGTATTTTTTTATTACACAAACTTGTCTCCGTTGCCTGGTTATCCAAGAACATCCATTCGCCGAATCTTACACAAAATTAAAAAAGTATCAGAAATATAAAAAAAACCTAGCACCACTAGTTTGTATGTCACGTGTAATGACATTTGTGTCCACTGATAATCGAGACTAGTCCACGTTTAATATTTTACAAAGGAAAGGAAATTGAGATAGAAGTGTAAATTTTTCATGGGAAAATTTAAAAGTAACTTAAATATAGTTTAAACATGTTCTTATTCCATGTAAAAGTCCTGTCTGTTTTCACAAACATGATGTAAATATATACGTTTCCTATGTTGAAGATCATCTTGATTAAAGAGCTTTGAAATCCTTCCGTTCAGTTTCATTTAAAACATAAGGTCACCCATTCTGTTAGTAAAGAGATTATTTGAGGCAGACAACACCGACTAACTGCAGTGTTAACGGAAGAAGGCTTAGAAAACAGCCAACAATTGGTGGATACACATGCACTTCATGCAGCATACACCTGCCTGGATTAGAACGGGGAGTCTAGGAACAATGTACGCAGTAGTGCCTATAATTAAATATAAACTATCATTAAGCGGGGACGCACATGGAATCATAAACGCGATGTAAAACCTTTTAATCATCATAATAAAATTGATTTTGTAGGGTAAATGAATACCTTTATGATTTGACAATGGAGTTTTGAGTTGAATTGTAATTCAAGCGTTTATGTGCCGTTAACATGTTGGAAACATCACCAGTCTGTCAGCTGAGGCGGATTAATGTTGTACATCTTGTCCTCTCCTTCTGTACCTTTTGGAAAACACTGTTTAAAATTATCATGTTTATTCTAAGTAATGTTACAGCCTAATTACAAACAAACCACTCACGTCCCATATTTCCGAACAAAACATAGGTTTGATGTGTTTTGTTTAGATGAGTATGACTGTGATAACATCTTGAGCTGTAAACGGAAACAATAACATGAAAGTAAGGAACCATTGCTACTTTATTGCCAGTCGTTTACAGACACCAACAAACCACGTGTTAACGTAGAGAAAAACCGTAGGCGAAATACCAATAATATTTGAAAGAAACATTTTACATTTATTTCATTAGAGCTGTAAAAGTATTCTTTTATTGAAATACTCCGCTGAAAATAAGGAGAAATACTATTCCTTACTGAGATTTAATAAATTCACATTCAGAAACCGAAAGTAATTGTTTTTGGTTCATGTACACGATAAAGATTTATTCCGAAAAGACAAGATAAGTATTTGAATTAAATCTTTGATTATTAAAAATGACATGATTTTAATTTTGATTTCATAGAAATAACAACCCTTTGTCAACAACAAACCAAGTGAAAACAATATAGAAACATGAAACAGATTACTATAAGCATGTACTTCCTTTTGGAGAAAACCAACCATGTGTAATATCCGCACATCAGCTCCCAGTGAAATATAATCCAAGTATGAAACGTAAAACAAATGTCAACGATAATCCAACGTGTATCAATGCTGTCTGAATGTTATCCATTACAGGTAGAGACATTTTAATGCTGAAAAACACATACTGCACATTTCCTGAAATACGTGCACTGTATGCTCACCATTGTTTCAGAAACGATTATTTTAGAACTTTGAGAGCAAGTCAACGTAACCTTCCCGTTTCTTCTAAGGAATACTTGTGACAAGTCAACGTAACCTTCCCGTTGCTTCCAAGGAATACTTGTGACAAGTCAACGTCTTAATCATCACAGATACAATTATTATTTGCCGGGTTCGTAGAAAATATAATTGATTTCATATTAAACTTTTCAAAAGACGCTTAACCTGATTAGATTGTCACCACACCGTTTACATTTTACAACCGCACTTGCAAATAACAGCTAGTAGTTCTATATTTCTATTCGTCCCCGTTTGATTCATATTCACTGAATACTTCCTCGTCGTTGTTCACATTGCCCTCGTCGACGTTAGACTCACCAGTCGAATCTAGGCTGAAACCAGACTCGTGCCGACAAATCGCTGACGGCGGTTGCCGTCGCCCATAGTCGTTCACCGTTTGATTCCTGTAGATATTCAATTTTATATCATCCGGGCTCTTCCCGTTTACGACCTCTGTCATAAATGCTATATATGCTATAGCAAGACGCAACGTTTCAATTCTTGAAAGCCGCTTCTCGTAAGCAAAAGTGGGAACTCGTCTCCTCAGAGAATCAAAAGCTTCGTTAAGATTGAACATCCGGCGCCGCTCCCGAACGTTGGCCGCTCGGCGTTGAGCAACGGTCGGCAAACGACGTTTTCTTGAACGTACGTCGAGTTCACCTCCGTCGTTATCCTGTATGTAGCGAGTCCCGGAGTTGAGCTGTGAGTGCTGGACAGCGAGTGCCTGGTTCGGGACTACCAAACTGTGGTCCGTCCACACGTAGGCCTGGGGAACCAGGGGGTACGTGCTTGGAGAGTAGCCATTGACGGACAATTGTCCAATTCCGTCTTCTGTCCTGGTAGGAATCATGGCAGCGGCGTATGGGTAAATTTCCGTGTATATTGCCGGGGACGTCTCACGTTGACCCTCAACTGACGTCAGTAAATTGTCTCCGTAAAAGTAACTCATATTCGTTTAAACTCTCTCGTGTCACTCACGCCAAATATGTTCCGAGTTGGCGGCCATTATTGCTCAATAAAGACCCCGTTGGCTTCATTTGGTTCTGTCGCGCAGGGCGAGGGGTGCGCTTTATTTTGACACTTCTAGTCAGCAAGAGCAATTGATATAAAGCTATCGTTGATTAACGAGAAGACGACCGCGTTTAATAAAATTCTTGCAAATGTTCTCTGTGCTGCTGACTTTGCCGCCAAATGTTCTCTGTGCTGCTGACTTTGCCGCCAAATTGATAAGTTAAGACAATGGGCAGACGATCGAAGTTGAATACGCTGGGCGTCAAAATTCACAATTGGAATACGATTAACGGAAAATTAGTTTCTGAGGACCGTCCAAGGTTATTAATCTCCACCGTTTCTGTATCTAATTTAAACAAATTGCATCCCGTTCGTCTTCAAACTGGTCAAATGTCTTTGATTCTCTGACGCTTTCATGCCGCTTGTTATTCCACGACAATCCACGCTACCAGAACGTTCAATACGATAACGTAACACTCACATTCAGGGAAAGAGACAGTGTCCCGAGTTTTGCGAGAAACATCAGTAATGTTTCACAACAAATGTTTCCGTTGCCGTCCACGGCTGGATCTAGGCATCTGACAGTATGACAAGCATCATCTCACCAGGTTCTGTACCAAGTTGGCCTATGATGGTTCCGGAAGAACTTGCAGGCGAGTTTTGGAGACGGGGAACCACGGATGTCCTACGGTGTTAAGTGACAGAACATAAGTGAAAATCTGTTTGGTGCAGATGACAATTTATATACATATGGACTTGCCTCGGAAGCCGAAAGCTGTCGCCATACAAGTACGAAATACTAGGAGTTACACTAAGTGACAGCTTGGGCCGTTGGTGATGACAGACAACGGGTTTCACACTTTTCAAACTTCCCTTATCACAAAGGTTGGTCCATGTCCACTGGGGTCGTTCCTCCTTGTGTTCCTGTCCGTTCCTCCGTTCTCACATTCCGGGTTGTCGTTGGGTCCATGTGTCGTGGGATCCTCCCTGTCCATGTGTTCCTCCGTTCTCCTGTCCGTCGGATCCTCCTTTCCTTCGTTGGGATCCATGGTCCTGTGGTCGGGTCCGTACTGTGTTCCTTGTGTTCCTGTGTTCCTTCGTGGATCCATGTGGGTTGGGTCCATGGGTCGGATCCATCGTTCGTCCGTCAGATCCATATCCTTCGTTCCTCCACATCGTGGATCCTCCGTTGGGTCCATTCCGTGGGTCCATTTTGTGTTGTCCTTCCGGCTTCGTTCCATTCCGTGGATCCATGTTGGTCCATCCGTGTCCGCTGTGTTCCACTGTTCCGTTGGTCATTCCATGTGTTCTTATTCCTGGATCGTTGGTCCACTCGGATCCGTGGGTTGGGTCGTCCGCTGGTCTTTTCCGTTGGTTATTCGGTCGTTCGGTCCATCCGTTCGTCCATATTCCTTCGTGTCGGTCCATGTCCATCCGTTGGTTCCATTCCTTCCGATGGATCATTCCGTTCGTCCATTCCGTCGGTCCATGCCGTGGATCCATTTCGGCTTTCCATGCTTCGTTCCATGCTCACCACGTAGCTGTGTTCCTTCTCACCACGTAGATGGATCAATGTACTACACGTAAGTTGGGTCCACTCTTTCCACCGTAAGAATGAATCCATGTGTTCCTGGGGCTGAATCCATACTCACGTAAGCTGGGATTCCTCTTTCCACATGCGGTTCCTCCACATGCGATTCCTTCTTTCCATGCGTCGTTCCTGCTCCATAAGTTGGGTCCTTCCGTCAGATCCACCACATCCGGCTTCCACATGTTCCTTTCATGCTATGTTCCTTATGCATGTTCCTTACTCCTTCCGTTGGGTCCATGTTCCATATTCACTGTGTATTCCACTCTTCGTTCCATTTATCCATGCTGTGTTCCTTTTCCACATTCCTTTCCACATGCTGTATTTCCGTGGAATCCATGTCCTCTCACCTGGAATCCATTCCGTTGGTCCTCTTTGTGGGGCTGGTCCATGGGAATGGTCCATACTCTTCTTCATGTTCCGTTCCATGTTGGGGTCCTCTGTCCGTTGGGTCCTGTCAGTTCCTTGTGTGGGTCCATTCCTTCGGTCCGTCCTCCACCGTTGGGGTCCATTCCATTCCGTTCGTTCCTTCCATGTTCCGTTCCTTGTCTCTCCGTTGGGTTCATGTCGTTCGGGTCCATGTGTGGTCGGGTCAGTTCCTTTTCCTGTTGGGTTCCTTTTTCCATGTCCGGGTCGGTTCCATCTCATTTTCGGGTCAGTTCCACTCCGTGTTCCGGTCGGTCCATTCTCCTTCTTCCACCTGCATCCTTGTGGCTGGGCCACCCATCCACATTTGGGCAGACCCTCCTTCTTCCTTGTCCTGGGGCCTTCCATCCTTCCTGCCTGGGGCAGACCTCCATCCATGTCCTGTCCATCTTCCTGGGCGTCCATCCTGGGGCAGACCTCCATGTCCATGTCCATGCCTGGGCAGGTGTCCTTCCTGGGCAGACACTGTCCTTCCTCGTCCTTGTCCATTCCTGCGTTCCTGTGTGTCCATCTGTGGCCTTGTGCTTCCATCTGTGCATCTTGGGTTCCACCTTCCTGGGGTCGGCTGTGCTTCCATTCCATCCACCCTGTGCGTTCCTGTCCATCTTCCTTCCATCTTCCTGGTCCATCTGTCCTTCCATGTTTCCTGTGGCCATCCTTCGTTTCCTTGTGTGGGCAGACCTTGTCCTGGGGCTGGTTTCCATCCATGTGGGTGTCCATCCTGGGTTCCTTGGTTTCCTTCCACTGTGTTTCCTCCATGTCCATCCTGGGTGCCTTGTCCATTCCATCCATGGTCCGTCCATCTTGGCCATCCATCTGTCCATGTTCCTTGGTTCCTGTCCTGGGCCATGTGCATCCTTGGCCATCCATGCACTTCCCGCCATGGCCCCACCCCTGCATCTAGGCAGACACCCATCTGCACTTCTACCCCTCACCCCTATCCCTGCATCCAGGCAGACATCCAACTACACTTCCCGCCCTGGCCCCATCACTACATCTAGGCAGACACCCAATCGCACTTCCTCATCTGGCCCCATCCCTGCATCTAGGCAGACACCCAACTGCACTTCCCGCCATGGCCCCATCCCTGCATCTAGGCAGACACCCAACCGCACTTCCCGCCATGGCCCCATCCCTGCATCTAGGCAGACACTTAACGGCACTTCCCGCCATGGCCCCATCCCTGCATCTAGGCAGACACTGAACCGCACTTCCCGCCATGGCACCATCCCTACATCTAGGCTGACGTCCAACTGCACTTCCCGCCCTGGCCCTATGGCTGCATCTAGGCAGACACCCAACTGCACTTCCTCCACTTGCCCGTATCCCTGCATCAAGGCAGACCCCCAACCGCACTTCCCACCATGGCCCCGTACCTGCATCTAGGCGGACACCCAACCCCACTTCCTCATCTGGCCCCATGCCTGCCTCTAGGCAGATACCCAACTGCATTTCTTCCCCTCCCTCCCATCCCTACAGATAGGCAGACACCCAACTGCACTTCCTCCACTGGCCCGTATCCCTGCATCAAGGCAGACCCCCAACCGCACTTCCCGCCCTGGCCCCGTACCTGCATCTAGGCTGACACCCAACCCCACTTCCTAATCTGTACCCATCCCTGCCTCTAGGCAGACACCCAACTGCATTTCTTCCCCTCCCTCCCATCCCTACAGATAGGCAGACACCCAACTGCACTTTCTCCACTGGCCCGTATCCCTGCCTCTAGGCAGACACCCAACTGCATTTCTTCCCCTCCCTCCCATCCCTGCATCTAGGCAGACCCCCAACTGCACTTCCTCTGCTACCATGACATGAAGAGTCTGCCGATGAGGAAATGACGTCACTGCACACCTGTTGAAAGTTACAATAAATCCCCGAGTGCCGCCTCCCCTCCCATACAGCAGAGCCACCCCAGAGCGTGTTTCTGTGACCCGATACAGGTAGCGGAGAGGGCAATTAAGTGGTTTCCAGCCCGGCCCACCTGCATGGAGTAAGGACCCCGTCTCAGGTAGCATGCTCCTGCAGGTCCTGAAGCTACGAGCTCTGCAGCCATATTGTCCAGTTATGCTCTGTTTCCTGCAACACCTTCTGTTCCTATCGGCAATCATCGTTTTGGTAACTCGGTGTCACGGGTGTCCTGTTTGGAACGGACTTGATTACGCTAAGCGACGGCTAGGGATCCGTAACCACTTGTCCTTGAGTACAGGTAAATGATAGGTCGTTTAGGGACAGCACAAACTCGGCCAATTACGAGGGCAGACGCTCAAAAGACGGGTACAGTATGTTCCGATTGATCATAAGCGTTTTAAGTATAGGTTATAATGGTTCTGGCGCTGCTAGGACAGATCTGGCTTCACGTGCCGCCGCCAACACGCGCCGTGATGGATCGTCTTGGAGAGACGCTGAAAGGAAAATTGCAGTATTTGAGGCTATAATTACAGAGGGCAACACTCTGGTTTTGATATTGCGTTTATTTCAGTATAATTATTCTATCAATCTGTTCAATTAACCATTTTAGTCTGACGCATCGTAAAACCATGCCACGACATTTTTTCGAGATGTTTGACAACTTCTTCAGTGAACGTGAGGTGTGGACCCTTTTCAACCGCAACGCTGTAAATCTGTATAGGCGTGCTGGTAACATACAAGGTGCTATCAAAGTCTATACAAAGAGGGGTGGGGTAGTGGAGAGTGTTATGGTGGTGGTGCGGGGTGGATCGTGGTTGCGTGTGGTGATGCGGGGTGGAGTGTGTTTGGGTTGTGGAGCACGGCGGCGCGGTGTGGAGCATGGTGGCGTGTGGTGATGCGGGGTGGAGTGTGTTTGGGTAGTGGAGCATGGCGGCGCGGGGGTGGAGTGTGGTGGCGTGTGGTGATGCGGGGTGGAGTGTGTTTGGGTAGTGGAGCATGGTGGCGCGGAGTGGCGTGTGGTGATGCGGGGTGGAGCGTGTTCGGGTTTTGGAGCATGGTGGCGCGGGGTGGAGTGTGGTGGCGTGTGGTGATGCGGGGTGGAGTGTGTTTGGGTAGTGGACCATGGTGGTGCGGGGTGGATCGTGGTTGCGTGTGGTGATGCGGGGTGGACTGTGTTTGGGTAGTGGAGCATGGTGGTGCGGGGTGGAGCGTGGTGGCGTGTGGTGATGCGGGGTGGAGTGTGTTTGGGTTGTGGAGCATGGTGGCGCGGAGTGGAGCATGGTGGCGTGTGGTGATGCGGGGTGGACTGTGTTTGGGTTTGTGGAGCATGTTGGTGCGGGGTGGAGCGTGGTGGCGTGTGGTGATGCGGGGTGGAGTGTGTTTGGGTTGTGGAGCATGTTGGCGCGGAGTGGAGCATGGTGGCGTGTGGTGATGCGGGGTGGACTGTGTTTGGGTTTGTGGAGCATGTTGGTGCGGGGTGGAGCGTGGTGGCGTGTGGTGATGCGGGGTGGAGTGTGTTTGGGTTGTGGAGCATGGTGGCGCGGAGCGGAGCATGGTGGCGTGTGGTGATGCGGGGTGGACTGTGTTTGGGTTTGTGGAGCATGGTGGCGCGGGTTGGAGCGTGGTTGCGTGTGGTGATGCGGGGTGGAGTGTGTTTGGGTTGTGGAGCATGGTGGCGCGAGGTGGATTGTGGTGGGGTGGCGCGGTGTGCCGCGGGGTGGAGGCGCGTGGTGGCGTGGTGGCGTGTGGTGATGGGGGGTGGAGTGTGTTTGGGTTGTGGAGCAAGGCGGCGTGGGGTGGAGCATGGTGGCGCGGGGTGGAGCGTGGTGGCGTGTGGTGATGCGGGGTGGAGTGTGTTTGGGTTGTGGAGCATGGTGGCGCGGGGTGGAGCGTGGTGGCGTGTGGTGATGCGGGGTGGAGTGTGTTCGGGTTGTGGAGCATGGTGGCGCGGAGTGGAGCGTGTGGCGTGTGGCGTGTGGAGATGCGGGGTGGACTATGTTCTGGTTGTGGAGCATGGTGGCGCTTGGTGGCGTGTGGTGGTGCGGGGTGGACTGTGTTTGGGTTGTTGAGCATGGTGGCGCGGGGTGGAGCATGGTGGCGTGTGGTGATGCGGGATGGAGTGTGTTCGGGTTGTGGAGCATGGTGGCGAGGGGTGGAGCGTGGTGGCGTGTGGTGATGGGGGGTGGACTGTGTTCGGGTTGTGGAGCATGGTGGCGCGGGGTGGAGCGTGGTGGCGTGTGGTGATGCGGGATGGACTGTGTTTGGGTTGTGGAGCATGTTGGCGCGGAGTGGAGCGTGGTGGCGTGTGGTGATGCGGGGTGGAGTGTGTTTGGGTTTGTGGAGCATGTTGGTGCGGGGTGGAGCGTGGTGGCGTGTGGTGATGCGGGGTGGAGTGTGTTTGGGTTGTGGAGCATGGTGGCGCGGAGTGGAGCATGGTGGCGTGTGGTGATGCGGGGTGGACTGTGTTTGGGTTTGTGGAGCATGGTGGCGCGGGTTGGAGCGTGGTTGCGTGTGCTGATGCGGGGTGGAGTGTGTTTGGGTTGTGGAGCATGGTGGCACGGAGTGGAGCGTGGTGATTCGAGGTGGACTGTGTTTGGGTTGTGGAGAATGGTGGCGTGGAGTGGAGCATGGTGGCGTGTGGTGATGCGGGGTGGAGTGTGTTTGGGTTGTGGAGCATGGTGGCGCGGAGTGGAGCATGGTGGCGTGTGGTGATGCGGGGTGGACTGTGTTTGGGTTTGTGGAGCATGGTGGCGCGGGTTGGAGCGTGGTTGCGTGTGGTGATGCGGGGTGGAGTGTGTTTGGGTTGTGGAGCATGGTGGCGCGAGGTGGATTGTGGTGGGGTGGCGCGGGGTGATGCGGGGTGGACTGTGTTTGGGTTTGTGGAGCATGGTGGCGCGGGTTGGAGCGTGGTTGCGTGTGGTGATGTTGGGTGGAGTATGTTTGGGTTGTGGAGCATGGTGGCGCGAGGTGGATTGTGGTGGGGTGGCGCGGGGTGCCGCGGGGTGGAGCGTGGTGGCGTGTGGTGATGCTGGGTGGAGTGTGTTTGGGTTGTGGAGCAAGGCGGGTGGGGTGGAGCATGGTGGCGCGGGGCACTCGTCACAGATTAACTAGATCTATGGATTCTGTAATGTGGCACTTGTCACAGATTAACTAGATCTATGGATTCTGTAATGTGGCACTTGTCACAGATTGACTAGATCTACGGATTCTGTAATGTGGCACTTGTCACAGATTGACTAGATCTACGGATTCTGTAATGTGGCACTTGTCGCAGATTGACTAGATCTACGGATTCTGTAATGTGGCACTTGTCACAGATTGACTAGATCTACGGATTCTGTAATGTGGCACTTGTCACAGATTGACTAGATCTACGGATTCTGTAATGTGGCACTTGTCACAGATTGACTAGATCTACGGATTCTGTAATGTGGCACTTGTCACAGATTGACTAGATCTACGGATTCTGTAATGTGGCACTTGTCACAGATTGACTAGATCTATGGATTCTGTAATGTGGCACTTGTCACAGATTGACTAGATCTACGGATTCTGTAATGTGGCACTTGTCACAGATTGACTAGATCTACGGATTCTGTAATGTGGCACTTGTCGCAGATTGACTAGATCTACGGATTCTGTAATGTGGCACTTGTCACAGATTGACTAGATCTACGGATTCTGTAATGTGGCACTTGTCACAGATTGACTAGATCTACGGATTCTGTAATGTGGCACTTGTCACAGATTGACTAGATCTACGGATTCTGTAATGTGACACTTGTCACAGATTGACTAGATCTACGGATTCTGTAATGTGACACTTGTCACAGATTAACTAGATCTACGGATTCTGTAATGTGGCACTTGTCACAGATTGACTAGATCTACGGATTCTGTAATGTGGCAGATACACATATATGGATACATCTGAAATAAACCCTCTCTTGTTTGTCGCAATGTCGTGAATATATATGACTTCCTCGTTTAAACAATGTCGAGTATTTAGTGAAATCTCTCCTGTTTGAATTTCAGGTAATTGTATACGATCCACGGGAAGAAAAAGGGCACAGGTGCTTGAAATTATAATACTAAGTATTTCCATATGCATCAATAAACCTGGCGTCCGCCCGCACATGTTCCGTGGGGGTGAGAGAGACACTGTTTCTGATGTTGAACTGAGATTGAGACGACAATGTGGAGCCCGTGTTTCTGGTGTGCGAGGTGACCTCTGACCGTGAAGTGCTGTTCTGTCGCAGTCTTACACTACACACAAAAAATATCACATTGAACATTCTCCTGGAATATCCGGCTCAAGTAAAGGTGCCTCATTCCAGGTGTGAGGTCACATTCAGGCAGGTGTGATTGCATCCCTAACTTCCTCCAAAGACAGAGTTAAGTGCGTGTATTCAATTTACAGTCGAATGTTTCAGCTAAACCATTAACTGCTCATGCGTTTCATCAAACGTTTTTTTTGTAATCTTAAGAAAGAGCATTATCATTTTCTACTTCCTTGCAGTGTTTAGTGGTTAAAGAATGACGAGCCTTGTAAACATATATTATCTAAAACAAACAGGAAAGTACTTGAAGCAAGTGAGGGGTTGCATTAAAAATCTTAATAAACGTTTACTTATATTTACCTTTGGGAAATTGTAAACCAGTTCCTCGCATTTTAAGCGAGTACATTAGTGTACCGTGTATGTGCATGACATAACGTCTCACCCGTGCATGACATAACGTCTCACCCGTGCATGACATAACGTCTCACCCGTGCATGACATAACGTCTCACCCTCACTGCGCTGTGTCGCTGTTGTGTTCTCGGACCTGTTTAAAATGTTCACTTCACGCTCACTGTTCATGAAATGGGCGGGGCGGTGGGGTAGCCTAATGGTTAAAGCGTTGGCTCGTCAGGCCGAAGACCCGGGTTCGAATCCCCACATGGGCACAATGTGTGAAGCCCATTTCTGGTGTCCCCCGCCGTAATGTTGCTGGAATATTGCTAAAAGCGGCGTAAAACCAAACTCAGTCAGTCAGTCAGTCATGAAGTGGGCGGAGAAAAGAGAACAACCTCTTCGATCCATAAGTTGTGAAACCTCCAGTCTACCCGTGGCGTGGTTTCATCTGTGTCCTTCTGTGAGGACATGTGAAACCTCCAGTATGAAGATAAAATTCAAGGAAGAGTCGTATGACGCGCTTTGAAATCTTTGCACACAAAACATGCCCGGTTGTACCTAAATATGTAGGATTTATTATCGAGATAAAAAGTGTCTGATGTAAAGTGTCTGATGTAAAGTGTCTGATGTAAAGTGTCTGATGTAAAGCCGAAAGATGAAAGACGGTGCAGCAAATGAAGAAGCAGTGGTAAGTATTCGGTATGATAAGACCAGCCGGAGTAACCTTGGGTGTGACGTGTGACGGCGCTGTTAGTGGCCTGCCGCGTGTGCTGCCCCTCTTCTGTAAGTATTCGGTATGATAAGACCAGCCGGAGTAACCTTGGGTGTGACGTGTGACGGCGCTGTTAGTGGCCTGCCGCGTGTGCTGCCCCTCTCCTGTAAGTATTCGGTATGATAAGACCAGCCGGAGTAACCTTGGGTGTGACGTGTGACGGCGCTGTTAGTGGCCTGCCGCGTGTGCTGCCCCTCTCCTGTAAGTATTCGGTATGATAAGACCAGCCGGAGTAACCTTGGGTGTGACGAGTGACGGCGCTGTTAGTGGCCTGCCGCGTGTGCTGCCCCTCTTCTGTAAGTATTCGGTATGATAAGACCAGCCGGAGTAACCTTGGGTGTGTGACGTGTGACGGCGCTGTTAGTGGCCTGCCGCGTGTGCTGCCCCTCTTCTGTAAGTATTCGGTATGATAAGACCAGCCGGAGTAACCTTGGGTGTGACGTGTGACGGCGCTGTTAGTGGCCTGCCGCGTGTGCTGCCCCTCTTCTGTAAGTATTCGGTATGATAAGACCAGCCGGAGTAACCTTGGGTGTGACGTGTGACGGCGCTGTTAGTGGCCTGCCGCGTGTGCTGCCCCTCTTCTGTAAGTATTCGGTATGATAAGACCAGCCGGAGTAACCTTGGGTGTGACGTGTGACGGCGCTGTTAGTGGCCTGCCGCGTGTGCTGCTGCCCTCTCTGTAAGTATTCGGTATGATAAGACCAGCCGGAGTAACCTTGGGTGTGACGTGTGACGGCGCTGTTAGTGGCCTGCCGCGTGCTGCCCCTCTTCTGTAAGTATTCGGTATGATAAGACCAGCCGGAGTAACCTTGGGTGTGACGTGTGACGGCGCTGTTAGTGGCCTGCCGCGTGTGCTGCCCCTCTTCTGTAAGTATTCGGTATGATAAGACCAGCCGGAGTAACCTTGGGTGTGACGTGACGGCGCTGTTAGTGGCCTGCCGGCGCTGTTAGTGGCCTGCCCCTCTTCTGTAAGTATTCGGTATGATAAGACCAGCCGGAGTAACCTTGGGTGTGACGTGTGACGGCGCTGTTAGTGGCCTGCCGCGTGTGCTGCCCCTCTCCTGTAAGTATTCGGTATGATAAGACCAGCCGGAGTAACCTTGGGTGTGACGTGTGACGGCGCTGTTAGTGGCCTGCCGCGTGTGCTGCCCCTCTTCTGTAAGTATTCGGTATGATAAGACCAGCCGGAGTAACCTTGGGTGTGACGTGTCACGGCGCCGCATGTGCTGCCCCTCTTCCGTAATAGGATCCCGGGACTCGCGCGTCGCCACAGGATATCGGACAACACTATTTTACTCAATGAGCCATTTGGAAAATACTGTTTTCAAACAGCTCATATTTTTGTGATTGTATCACTCATGGACACGCCATGTTGCCAGAACACATGTACATCTCTTCATGCCGGATGCAGCTATGAGTATTTTTTCATTTTTCGGGTTGTTGTTTTCAAATGTAAGCGCCAACGAGCCATTTTTAAAACTACACTTTCTAAAATGTAAAATTAATTTTGATTTGATGAATGCTTCGTATTGTCAGGAGCCGGACAATACTGTCAACCAGTTTCTCTCACTGGCGCCACCGAGTGTGTTGGTTCATTGTGATCCTTGCATGAGTGTTTTATACGGGGTACTTTGTTGATACATATACTGTGTTATCCCCAACAATATGTCCAGAAGGATAATATTTACCTAAGAAAAGAGAAGGCGGTAATAGGCAGCGGACAAGCACTCAGTTTGTTAGGACTTAATGGTGTAACTGTAATCCGATACCGCTTGGGGCGCCTCTTGTCTACCGCTACTTGCAATCTTTGAAATCGACACCAACATACATTTGCTTTTTATGACCAGGAAGATGAATATGGTATCCCGTCACACGCTACCGGACTCTTTTTTATCCAGTGTCTCCTTGAAATAGGAGATGCTGAATTAAGCAGACATGCAGGAAGCCAGGATGTTCCCCCAGAAGAGCTTTTTGGGTGTGATTCTGTACGGGATCATTAATGGGCTATGTTGATAATTTAAACCTGTGTTTACGTTTACGAGAGCTTGCAGTCATGAGTGTGTTAGTGAGTACTTTGGTACGCTTCCACTAACACACACAGGCACGTTTACATTAGAAGTAGAAGTACTCTTACGTTTCTAAAGTCACAAGAAATCCGCCAGGATGACTTGAAGAGGAACTACATCATCTTACAAAATTCATGTAAATAGATAGAAACTCTTCCAAAGTCCCAGATCCCAGGTACAAGTTGGCTTCAGCAAGCCATGTCTGTCGTAGGAGGAATCACGCCGAGCTCTCCTGGAAAGTGCCCATCCTCACGGATTTCACCAAAGGGCCGGTGCGCCCTCTCGTCGCGGGGATGTAAGTGACAAACTGTGGAAAGCGGCGTCACACATTCACTCACTCACTCTTTCAATGGGCTCCCTGACAAACAACTAAAGAGCTGTTATCCCCCTCCAACATGCATTAACCTCCAACATCCGCCTCGACAACATTGATCTCTCCGACGTGTGCTTCAGACGTGACGTACACAGAATATCCAAACTCTTTCCTTCCTGACCTTGACCCCTTGTATTGAAACATGTCTGTCCTGGGTCGGTGTAACATGGTAGCAAAGCGCCAGCCTTCTCC